AGTTTTTTCCAATGTTAATGACTGGACGATTCTCGATCTCGACTTTGTTCCGTCTTCATACCTGGTTGAAGTGGGTTCGGACCCGACGTTGCCAATCCTTTCGGAAATCTATAGGTATATAGTTAGTTTTACCGTTGTATTACGGTTGGGGAGAGCGATTGGATCGGTTCGTATTCTGGGGAATAGCTTCGGTTGAACGTACGGTTGTGTTGAATCTGGTTGTTGTGCTTGATCGCCTAGATTTCACGTTAATTAGCGATCAATTCTTTTGGCTGAATACTTGGAAATAGATATCGCGACGATATCCATGATTAAGGGTAATTAATTACTCACCATTGTGACTGATTGCGATCAAGGGGGATTGGGTTTTGGAATGAATGGTCGTCTATCGCAAGTCGTCTCAGTTCTCCAGATTAGAGGCACGAGAATTTCCCAGAGGTTGCGGCTGTTGAACCCAACCCGCACTTTCGGCAAAATTTTTGGAAGGGCTAGAAAACCCTACAATTTTCAAGTGGGCCGTGCGCCTGTTTTGTGCGTTAAGGTTATCCGTAATGTATTGCGGAAATGGAAAGTGGCTTAGGCTTTAAAAGGTCTGAGGCTGAAGTCTGAAGTGGGGTCAATTCATAATACATGTAATTAGGTACACAGTGTCTTCAAATTATCAAACTGTCCATTGTTCATCGTCCATCGTCCATCGTCCTGACCCAATCTTCAACATTCACTTTCACTTTCAACATCATATTCATATACTATGTATGGAAGACCTAACACATGCACGATCAACAATAAAACTAAAATGTTTTCCCCTTACTCCAATACCCTTAGACTCAGAGCTTGAAGCACTACCTATAAGATATAACTAGTTCACTAAGAGTATTTAACTAACTAACTAGGGAGGTAAATATATAAAAGTACCTAACTAGTCGGTTATCCTCACTCATTAACTAGCAACACGATAAACACATTATTCTCCTAGCTCCAAGGTTTCTCTGTCCCGACGCCATGAACTTGGTGCGCTATATAATTCAAACGACTGTATTTGGTCTCTTGTCAAGGCGGTGCCATCGACTTCAGCAGGCGACATCGCACTATCCATCGTGATATGTTTATCTGCTTGTGGCTGAGGCGTGTACTCCCCATGTGCTTCATCTCTGTCCTGCGTTGTCCGGCTCCGTCGCAGGATATAAACTACAGCCACCACCGTACCACACATGAGGGCCAAGCCGCCTAGCACGCCCCCGACGATGGCGCCTGTGTTAGTGGTCGTGGTCGTGGTTGGTCGCTCACTTGTAGTGGTTGTGGCTTCCGGGTCTGAGTTGGATGTGGTATCTGTGGAATACGATGATGACTCTGCTATGGTATCCTCCTCCGTTGTCGCCCCGGTTGACGAAGGTTCTGTTATAAGTTGGGTTGTTGTTATAGGTATTGTTGGTGTAGGTAGATAGATAATCTGCGTCGCCTCCGCCCCGCAGGCGATATACAAAAATGTCTGATCCTCGCCCGCGTCGATGATAGCTGTAGAGCAAAATCCCTTATCCGAGTCCGTCTCTGAGCTACAATACGAGCAGTCGTCAATGTGTAGGACATCACGGTCCTGGGAAGAAAAATCAACTTACCAGTAGATTGTACTAATAGACATTATATCCTCATACCCGCAAGTTCCCGAACAACCTGCTCCATCCACGCAAGCTCCAGCTAGCCCACAATCGCTAGCGATGGCTACGGTCGTGGGACAGAAACCCCATAATCCGTTCGCAGTGTCAATTCGACAGTCATAATCCGGCTCAGCAGTCCGGGACTTTGATGGGTCGCCGTCTTGGTAACCACAAGTGGACATTTGAGTTGTAAGATCCCGCTGTTTAAGTCGTTCACGTGTAGTCGGAGAGTTCCTCCTGTTGGACTGAGACACAGTGGTCTCTACAATTCTTAATTCTATAATCGATACATTCTGATAGGTAACGACAGTGACTATCTGATAGAATAATAAGAAAAGGTGAGCGGTCCAGAAGTTTGCGGCCATTCTGACAATCACACACCCGGTTGGGTGGACTGGGAAATAACCATATAGCACAAGTTAGAGTCAATAGAGACATAGAAAGGTGAATCTTGGAAGACTGAGAGTGCGAACGCTAATACCTATTAGAACCAGACGAGAGGCATCAAAAGCTTCTACCCGCCCCCTCCCCCTGCAGATATTGAGACACCCTGTTTTTGCATCGTCTTTTCCGAGCAGTAGAACTGCGTATTTAGCCAATGAGAAGTAGATAAATATCGTTGCCAAGCTCTAGTAATTGAAAATTCAGTCCGGTATGACAAAAAAACAAAAGGGGAAAGCCACCAATGTGCCGCCGATAGCCTCAAAAATATAGTGACATACGTATAGCAAATACAGCGATATAATCCTCGAAGTAGTTTATATTCTTAAGAAACTGGATCCATATAAATTCTACTCTTATTTGAAAATCGCGCAAGCAAGTCTACGTTGATGCCTACCAAGTTAGATATTTAGAAGTTGATAGGAAGGTATTATTAGTATTTATTAGTATAGTTTTATGACCGGGCGCTTCTAGCGGAGACTTTTGCAGCGCGGATCATCTTTACTACAAGCCACCAGCGGCGTAACATGTGAGAGGCATTATCGGACGAGTACCTAGATGCCACAATACCTGCCGTGTTAGGTACGCGGTAATAGGAAACAAAGACAAAGCCACGGCGTTGGAAGAATCATATACGCAAGACGGGCATTCTCTGTCACACTTCATTTAATCACGACTCAAAAGGCGCGTGTGTCACCCCTTAAGTTGAGTTAATTGGACAAATTCTCCCGAACCAAGAAGATGCCTGCTAAAATAATCTTCTACTAGAGTTGTTAATCCGATCGCTTTACGAAACGGAATCCGCGTACCTGTAACCTTGCCTAGGTAGGTACCTAGGAATAGAAATCGGGCTTTTTTTTTTTTTTCTCGGGTTGTATTACACAACACAACTATCCTATTGTGGTCCCTGACCTCGTCCCAGGAACTCCAAATTCCCAGCCCACGATGAAACGAACACGCTTAATTTTGCTTCAAGTAGCCTGTTTGTTCTTTGTTGTCCTCATATTACGGGCCGGATACCATGGCTACTCGACCGAATCTTGGAGCCGGTGGAAGCAGTCTGATTATCATCGACCGAATTCTCTAATACCTCCTGACACCATCGAACTCGATCATGATCCAAAATCAAATGGCACATCCAACTTAGTCGATACGGACAGTGCATGGAACATAACGACATACGTCAAAGCTATTTTAGATCCTGCAGATACTTCGTTCGCCCGCCTGGAGTGTCCGAGCCCGAATTTGACACGGTATGAATATCTGAAAGCACTAGTAGGAGACGATGAGCCACGAGAATTGAAGTATTTCTTCGCACTCGACCTTCGACAGTCTATCAACATCCTGCCTCGCCTACTAGGGTCTATCATAGAAGCAATCTGGTTCCTTGGTCCGACTGCTTGCGCTCTATCGATAGTAGAAGGTAATTCGGACGACGGCACAGACGAAGTCCTTCACTCGCTCCAATCCAAGCTAAATGAATTGGGGATTGTATATTATCTCCACTCAAGCGAGATAGACTCCAAGGTCGGAGAGAGGATCGAAAAGCTTGCACAACTCCGTAACTTGGCTCTCTCGCCCCTGCTCTCCCTTGTTGGTGTGACAGAAGATGAAAAGTTAACTCCCTTACGGCCCCCACTGGTACCGAACGCAAACACGACTATCATATTCTTAAATGACGTCGCCATATGCGTATCTGATATACTCGAGCTGATACACCAACGAGTCTTCCAATCAGCAGATATGACTTGCGCTATGGACTGGACCTACGTAGGCCGCGATCCGACGTTCTACGATGTATGGGTAGCGCGAACTCTCCTGGGAGATCTGTTCTTCGATATCCCTCCAGACGGCAACTGGAATAGCGCATGGAACCTGTTCTGGAACGATCGAATAGCGAGTGAGAGGTTCAGAAAAACCCTCCCGTTCCAGGTCTTCGCGTGTTGGAACGGAGCCGTGGCTTTTACGGCCGCGCCAATACTCGGGGAACAGTCAGACCAAGATGAAGCCTACAAGAAGCCGATACAGAAGGGGAAGAAGGAAAACAGGGTTGAATTTCGGGGACCAAGGGAGGGCGAGTGCTATTCGGGGGAACCGACGCTATTCTGTAAGGACTTATGGAGAATTGGCCATGGACACATCGCTGTCGTACCATCGGTGAATCTTGAGTATTCCGATGAGGATGCGTACAAAATAAAGATGGCCAAAGGATATACGTCACGATGGACAGCACAGGAGGATGAGGAGACGATGAAAATCCAGTGGGTAGACAAGCCGCCTGACACGGTGACGTGTATGCCAGGCTTAGGGGATCAGACCCGGCGACCTTGGAACGAAACGTTTACTTAGATTAGGCAGCGGTGAAGGATTTAAACATATCCAACCATTATGCATCAACATGCATTTATTTTAATTATAGCACGGGGAATACTCATCTTCCTCTGAAGGTAGGCCTCCATGGCCGAGGTGCCCATGCAAGGAATATATTAAGAGTTGCTCGTAAATAGAGAAGGATGTGAATTAGTTGCACATATTATGCGTGTTCAATCGGTAGGTTAACGTCTTTACATGAAAAAGGGAATTAGAATAAGAAGAAGGAAAAAAAGAAGAAGAATAGAAGTTAGGGAGCTACATCGCGCATGTAATCGTGTTTGGTACGGCAAGTAAGCAAGCCAAGGATGAAATTGTATGTTGACATCATCTTGAATGGAACTACTATTAAGTTTGTATAAAATGTACCAGCGACGTTGCCGTATGGGTAGCAGGACCTTAGGAACGAATATACGAATAATACGCACCGGACGTACTGATTTGAGGATATGATTGTTTATAGTCAAGCGATCGTCATCCAATAATTCATCCAATGATTGACGTTGGATAGGATCTCCATAAGCCTATGAACAAGCCTTGGTAGCTCAATTGGCTAGAGCGTGGGACTTTTACAAATCTGGAAATATCCTCTGGATTCTAAGGAATCCCAAGGTTGCGGGTTCGACCCCCGCCTGAGGCGCTTAATCTTTTGTAAAATCTGATATCTTTTTTTATTCTATTTTTTATTTTTTTAATATATATATATATATATATATATATCATTGTCATTATCATCATTATTATCATTCTTCCGTCCATATGCTCGTCTCCCGTTTTATTCTATTGATTTTATGATAGAATCCCGTGGGACGGGTTGTAGCTGCGCCGGGTACAAGTTGCACCTACCGGATATATCCTTATTTGGGTCCGTACTTGCTGTACCGAGCTCCCGCAAAGATCCGATAGGGTACCCGAATACTTATTAAAGGCTCCGTCATGTTTTGTCGCATCACCGATCTACACTACTACATTTTAATGCACGTATTGATGCAACTCTGAGTAGGTAACCAACGATATTTCCGTCATGATCTCTAGAAATATACCTATTAGACGCCTCCTAGCTCGGGCTTCTAGATCCAGCGTCTCGGATACCTGCGCTGCATTGTCCGGAACTCGCTTCCAATCTAAAAGATGTCTGCATGGCACGGCTTCCCTCCGTACGGATGGTGTATTTCGCGGTCTCACAGATGACCGCCTGCCGATGCCATGGATAGAGGCGTGGAAGCTACAGCAAGAAGGAAAAGACATAGCCTCCGACGAAGCTCAATCACAGGAACGTGATCTAACCCCGAAAAAGATGAGCGATAGTTACCATCGAGTCGTGCTTCCTCTCGGCCGTGATCCTTGGCTTAGCGATACCTACATCAACTCATCCGGTCATATAAGGTCTTTATCCCGTTTCTCTAATCTGCTGATATGTCTGACTAAGACTCTAGGTTAGGTACGATATTTATGGATCTTGATGCTCTATCAGGTATCATCGTGTATAAGCACACTGGACCTGGAGTGGCTGTTGTCACCGCTGCGTTGGACAGGATCACTATCGCCCACCCGCTCACTGAGATTTGTGATCTCGAATATAGCGGGCAAGTAACGTACGCGTCGGGGCGAAGCAGCGTGGAGATTACCTGCAAGGTCGCCAGAGCCAGGGACGAAGGCGAACCCAGCAAGCCGGAGGACGTTTTGCTAACGTGCACCTTCACCATGGTGGCTTTGGATCCCAAAACTAAGAAACCGGTCCACATACCGCGGCTAGAATACTCGACTCCCGAGGAAGAAAGGATCTTCAAGGCCGGAGAGGCCAAAGCCCTGGCCAAAAAGCAGAAGCTCAAGACTTCGCTGCTCGAGACGGAACCGAATGATCCAGAGTCGGCTCTGATCCATAAGATCTGGCTAAGGCAACTAGCCTATCATGACCCGAACAACCCCCTCCGGCAACCCAAAAACGTCATCGCCATGTCCAAGACACAGCTGTCGACCGCGTCTATCATGCAGCCGCAGTACCGCAACCGGCACCAGACCATGATCTTCGGCGGCTTCCACTTGAAGCAGACCTTCGAGCTGGCATTCTGCTGCGCGGCAAGTTTCGCACACGCGCGCCCGACGTTCATCAGCGCCGACCCGTGTATCTTCCGGAACCCCGTCCCGGTTGGCAGCGTCTTGTATCTGACTGCGACGATCGTGTATACGGACCCGCCAGTCTTGGAGGAGGACGGCAGCGAGCCCCGACAGAAGGACTCGGAGAAACCCGTCACGCGGCTACATGTGAGGGTGGATAGTAAGGTGAGAGATGTCGAGCATGGGAACGCAAAGCCGACTGGCCAATTTAACTACACTTTCTCAGTCCCCAAGGACGTCAAGGTTTTGCCGCGTATGTGTACTTTTCTTACTCTTCTGCTTCTCCCCTTTGAACCCCGCCCTCCCTACCGATTCATGACTGACCCTGTGCTCCAGACACGTACGAAGAGTACATGATGTACATTGATGCCAGAAGAAGAGTACAACTCGCAGACGTACAGGACCGCGAGGAGCACGCAGACGCAAAACTCCAAGAACGGCGAATGTCGGAAAACGTCAACCTAACAGAGTAAAACTCACCACGACCTATTCAATGCTAACCTGCGGTTTACCGGGCTCAACCCCTATCAAGAGAGTTGTTAGAGATACATACGTATTATCTTATTTATTATATATTTATGTGGTAATTCCTGTATATTTAGGTAAAGGCTTTAGGTGGTGGCTAAAGGGATAATTACATAGACCGGTGGACTTCATATATATACAAAAATGCCTTCATTGGAGTAGATACTTTGGGATACTCACGAACATTGCTGTGATTTGTACATAATTTCTCCCTGGTTAGAATCATGTACGACGAAGCATAGGCGTTCTCATCTATACGACGTAGGTAGATTTTGATTTGAGTTGATTTATTTTTCATGATATCGCTATCACTAATCACATAACGAGAGCTTGTGAGAGGACTATTATTCTTACCATTGATTCCTTAACTACTGGTAGTTATTATAACTACCTAGGTATAGATTACAGGTTTTTCTGGCACAATCGTTGTCACGCTTTCTATCAAGCATTTGAGGTTATGTCTGCTATCCAATAGGCTAGGACTTGAGTATTCTCAGGCAAATTTGTGTGTAGTCGAATGCAATATCGTATTGTTTTATATGTACAAGGCTAGAGTTGATAAATACTGCACTTCGACATATTGATACATTGCGTCTCGCATGGGTACTAGACGCCACCCTTAAAACGTGAGATCTCCGTGTTCTTCCGAACAAAGCCATGGCCCTCAAGAGGTAGATCTCTCTTCTTCAGCTCCTCTTCTATGAGCTTGAACCTTCCAACTGCCTTCTCCCTGTCGCCGCGCGTAATGCGCTTTGTCGCGAAGGACACATTAGGAATCTGCACGAGGTCTTGCCGGCGCTCTTGGATCTCCTCGGTTAGGGTCTTGGGCTTGGGCGGCTTTTGCACCGCGTGGAGCAGCGACCGGATATCTGTGATGCTTGATAGCTGGTGGTCATGGACCAACTGACCGGTAAGCTGGAAAACTCGTTTTGTGACCTGGAGCACAGCGTTAGTTTTGAGATTTAGTAGATATAGGAACTCATAAAGAGCCAAACTTACAGCGAACTTGATCCGAGGGTCCGATAGAGACACCGCCTTCCACCCATGACCCCAAGCGCTTTTGTACTTCTGAGCCTCTTCTGTTGAGGGCACCGGTACGCTTGTGCTTCCTACAACGGACTCATCGGCCATGGTAGGCTCACTCTTTTGGGCTAGCGAGTCTAATACCGCAGATACATCTCCGGTAAGCGACACAGCACCGTCCGGTGCTACGTTGATCTCCACGCTCAAGAGACGACTCAATTCGTCTTCCCCAGCTATCGGCCAGGCTTTCACTAATTCATCTTCTCTCCCTGCTTGCTTCAGCGCAAACGCTTCTATAACAGCACGTCGTACCGAAGTTTCGAGGACAGCGGGGTCAAGAACCGAGTTCAGCGGTTTGAAGCCAATGAAATCGACCAGCCAATGTTCTGGTCGATCCCACCAGTTTCGCAACCCACCAACCGTTTCCAGGCCGTCCGCTGTTAACGCGGGCACGTAGGTTGCATCTGAAATATCGTCTAATCGTTCGGCATAGCTGCGCTGAGGTGGTGGAACGTATGTCTGCCACTGCGTTGGAGTAGGACTTTCCAGTTCATAGATCTCCTCTTCGGCCAGCTGGGCCGCCTCTTCTTTTGGTACTTGTTCAACTTCGGGGGTAGTGGTATGGTCATGCGTACTCGGCTGTTTATCGGTTGAGTAAAACCGGAGGGATAAGGAACGTTGGAAGGTCGCGGGTATCGGCCTACGATGCGAGGCTGAGATGGTCTGGGATGCGGACGTATATTGACCGACTAGAGGAGCAATTGGGGAGCATGGGGTCGATATAGGGAGACCAGAGGGTCGTCTTAATCGTGATATCCGCCGCATTGTGACCAATTGAGAAAATTATGAGAAGGTTGACCGGCGAAGAGGAAGAGTACCCAAATCGCAGATGGAAGTTTAATACTTGGAAGCTTAATACTTAGTATGTAGACGTCGTGAACTTTTTTTCGATCCGCGATGCCCACTTAAGCCCGTAAAACCCCCCCCAAAGTACCGATGTACACTTTCGTGGGGCTATGCGGATATGCAGTGGAACTTCAAGCCACAGGTATATCACACACCCTTGGCAGTCCTGGCAGTCCTCGTCCAATGTACCTGCCAGGTGCTTATCTGACCTGACAACCGCGTTATCGGCGCGCGGATAATGCTCCTGTCCTGGTTCGTCGCTCGCATTCATCACATGTAATATAACCTCATTAGGTACCTAACCTAGTTATTTCAACATACACTAATCTAGCCATTGTCGTTAAGTCCGAATCCTGGCGTTTTCAAATGGGCTATGTATAATCAACTCTGTTGGCCGCGACGTCTAGATATTTAGTAGCCACTCGATCCACTCGATGACCGCGACACGATGCGACTCCCTCTCTATGTCCTCTTCGTAGGGGTCTTCGTCTCTTACGTCGTCGCGACCTGTAAGCAAGCCTCGTTTGATAAATAGGCCATACCTTACCATAACCTTAACATATCAGCTATACTGATCCGTCTTTTGTATTCGCAGCCGCGCCCACATTTTGTAAATGTACCTGCTTCAAGAATAGCACTCTAATACAACTCGGTCCGCAAGGCGATTCCTCCTTCGGTAACCCCGAACACCCAGCATCCCAACGCCTCCAAGAGCGCGCCGCCTCGGCCTCCTGCACCCAATGCACCCGAGCCTTCTGCCTTTCACAGCACCTTCCCATCTGTAAGGATGCCGAGGAAACAGACGTCCTGACCACCTGCTTCCAGCGTGACAGTCGCAAGGACCAAATTATCGTCTGGGGTTTCATCCTAGGTACTACGAGCCTGTTGGGATGGGCGGCTGCTAAAAGAGTTGTAGAATTCCGCGAGGGGAAGAAAGTTGCCGCCCTAGGGCTAGGCGGCTCCGGCATAGGGGGTAGAGGAGGCCGAGGTTCTGCCCAGGACAGGGGCATATACATGCCGGTAGACAATGATGATTCACAACGATTAAATAGGTGAAAGACAACCGCC